GAAGGTTTTTGAGCTGTAAATTGCAAGAGTGAATTATCATTATGAATTAATATGAATCACCATTATTAAATAATAGGAATTATCATTCTGGATATGAATTAGTAATTAATATGGATTATTAATATGAATTATATTATTCTTAAATTTACACACAGAAAGAAGGCAGAAAGTAGCTTTGTTAACCTCTGAGTTCTAAAATCCAAAGGCACTTTTAAAGTCAAAATTATTTTTAAGTTAGGCAAATTTTACAATAAAGCAGCTGCATCTGTAAAGCAATTATAAGCAAATCTTCAAAGCAGTAAAGCGGAAATTGCTCTTGGGTAACTATTGAAAAATCAACAGATGTTGGCTGTCCAGGTCTCAAACCTTCAAAATCACTCACTTCTCCTTCCGAAAAATCAAAATGTAAAGAAAATTGATAAAAAAAAACAGGAAATGTTGCAAAATATTGAGAATAGCTGAAAAATGGAAGATTACCCTGGCCCAAACCAAATGGGATCTGGGTTCTGACTTCATAAGGGTTTTATTACCTCTCCAACTAATGGTGTTACTCCATCCGACTCATTAACCCAAACTTTCTTGCTTTGTCCCCTCTCATAGGCTTGGTAGGGAGAACCGTCAGCGAGAGCCTCTATGCTAATAGCAGCATCCTAAAAAGTGGAAAATCACACAAAAGGAAACGGTTCTTTCCACCAATTATTGGTGCCCTACACCAACTATGTAGAGCCCAGCAACCACACAGAAAGACGTCTCATGTCACAGCGTACATATTAAAAAAACCCAAAACATTTATGTGTAAAACCCCATACATACTGATAATGATACTATTTAAAATGGAAAAATAAAGAGCTAAATGCTTACCAGTATGATAATGTACTTTTGTCCATAATCATGCATGTAAGTTTGAAAACTGGGGAGGTCTGTGAAGTTCACTTTGTCGTAAGTAAAATCTTTCCTCGCTTCCATGTAGTCGATATCTGTGTACTGAACATCCTGGGAGAAGACGGGGGGTTAGATGTTAATCTGAAGGGTCCAGACTGCACCACCTCTTCTCAATGTGCTGTATTTCGATTAAAAATTCCTAGAAAAGCAGCTGGATGTGGGCACCCAGAGTACTTTTTTAACAGCTATCCATCACTAAATTGGGGGAAAAATTAGCTTCCAATGCTTTGTAATTTTCCAGGGTTTCTGAGAGTGTAAAGTGGATTTGCATACTGGGGTTGATCTCATTGGTTCACGGATTAAGCCAAAATGTGCATAATGTAGAAGTAAATATACTGAGCTGGAAACTTTAAACCAAAAAATTGCTTCCACAAAAAAGGGAGTGAACGACATTTAAAAATCATTCAGCATTTTATACAGAAAACTGTGCAACCAATGAAAACGGCCATAGCTAAAAAGGAAAAAAACCACACACCACAGAAACAACAAAAAACAACAACAACAAAATCGTATTTTTACTCACATAAGGGAGTTCGATTGCTCTGTTTCGCTCCACAACAGCCTTCACCTCGTCAAGAGACCCATAATCGTAGCGGCTGAGGTGAAATCCCAGAGTCCAATAGGAGGGCAATGCCGGCAACCCTATGAACTGGACATTAAAACCAAAAAATAATGAGCACCGTCAGCCTCCTCTCTTTGGGCCCGATTCCCTAAATTCTCTGATTCTCTCTCAAATCAGACATTCAACTCAAGTACAATAAGCTGCGCTTTATGCAATGGCCTGCAGCTGCTCTATTTTTATATGCTCTTTTTTTCCCCAAAAAACACTCCAAATGTGAATGATGCAAAGAATGATGTATCCATTGTTACCCATAAAGTTATTATATTGTATTATTTATATTACATAAAATTGCCACCTCATTCTGTTTTCTGGCATTGCTGCCCTACCGAAAAAGGGTAAGGTCTTAGTTATAATAATATTTTTTATTGTGTATTTATACAGCAGCTGTTATACTTGCAAGATGATTTCAGGTAATATCACAACATCAACACCCCTGAACTGAGGAGCAGAATTACCAAGGAAGTGAAGAAAAGTTGAAGAATTTACCTAAAAAAAAAAAAGCTATGACCTATGTAAGGGGAAACTGCACAGAAATAAAGGAAACTGCATGAATGGAATGGAAAGTTTTTAGTCTAAATTTAAGGATTTAAGTTACCAAAGAACTAAATTTAATGCTGTTTTAAAATTTATGTATCCTTTCTTTAAGTAGTCATTGAAACATGTATTTGGCTCCAAAAAATAAATACAGGAATTAGTTGCCATGGAGACATCAACAGATATGTAGAAGTGTATATACTTTTCTGTCTTTATCTACTCTATAATTTTATCGTATCAGTAAAAAATGATGGCCAGTGCACCACTGCACGCAGACCACTGCAGGCTCCAGTAGCAGACTGGCATGCTGGGGAACGTTTGGCGCACACATACAGGTGGATTTAGCAATCTGAGCAAAATTAGTGCTTAAGTTTCACTCTTAACCCTAACTAACCCTAGAGAGCAGTTCCCGATGACAGCAAACAGGTGAGGGGCAAACCTTGAGTTATCATCTTGGATTAATAAAATAGCGAAGAGATACGACAATAGAAGGGGAGAAAAGAAAACTTAAAAAAAAAAAAACTTCAATGCATAATTTCTCAAGATAAGCCAGAGGATGATGGATGTTGGAGATCATCTAATCAAAGATCACCCTTGGTCAAAGCAGAGTGAGCAAGAGCCATTTGCCCAGGGCTGTCCTCAGTCATGCTTTGAGTATCTCCAAGGATGGAGGATCCACCACTTTTGGGTTCGGGTTCACCAACATACCTTCACGTACTCCTGCACCACTTGCTCGGGGGTGTCTCCCAAGAAGACATAAAAATCAAGAATTCCCCCAATTGTTCTGTACGTGACAGCCGGCGCCGGCTGCAGGGCGAACTCTGCAAGCAAAAAAATGCGCAAAATCAATTTGGGATATTACCTAAATCTCAAATAACTGTGATGTCAATACGAAAGATATAAAAATTGTTTAGGAGAAAATCTCAAACAAAAACATTCAAGGAATCCTAAAACTGTTATTGGAGCTTTCAATGCAGGTGGAATGTTTTCAGCTCTTTTTTTTTTTTCCTAAAAATGTCCATATTTACATTCCTTTACAGTCCAGAAAGAGAAGAGAAATCCAATGGTACAACTGCTTCTCATTAAATTTTCAGTCTCAAGCTGCTGGAATATTTCCATTAAGCATCTGAGTATATATAGAATTATCTAAGGAAAGTTAAGGGCATATATTTACTAGTGCTGCTCAGTATAAATTTAGCATCAGATTTTAATATCTTGGACTGAAACATCCCTGAACATGAACAAAAATGCACAGGAGGTGCATGGCACTGGTCTTGCAACACAACCTTAATGCTGCTTGTATAGAAACACGAGTAAATGCTTGAAAAAATGACTGCAGTCACAGAGTTTAGGACAACTTTCTTCAAAATTTGAGATGTGACTTTTTTTTAAAAAAAAATCTACATCAGCTCAGTCGGATCGCAGTGCATTAGCCCTGCAGATCATGTAGAAATTTTTTTTTCTTTTTTTTTTTTGCAATAGTTAAGAGCTATGGAGAATGCTATTCTTACCCATGGCGTTGCTATTCATCAAGAAAACACCAAGAGAGGCTCCAGTGTTGTCTTCCAAACACAAGAAGAAAGTCTGAACGCCATATAAGTTATCCATGTTCTTGAAGGAAAACAGAAAAGTCGTCAAAAAAAACCCCAACAATCTATGTGCACCCTGTGGTGTCTCAAAAACGTATCACATGAGGTTAAACTTGTCAGAATTGCCGACACTAACCTCTTTTTTTCTACTTCTCTTTTATGGGAATGTCTTTAAGTTGCTTAAAATCTGTTGAAAGCACAAATTTGGGGAAATCTACCCCAAATTTGAGCCGTTTGGATAAGAACGTCCACACACCCATTATGTAAAAGATGAAGATTATAAATTGCATCTCTAGTAGGGATGGAAATAAAATAAAGGAGATGCTTTCTACAATAAGTTTTGTTGACAGTGAGGCAAATTCCGGTTTTCAGTTCAAAAATCAAAATAGATCTATCAGCCCACAGACAATGTCCCAAACTTTGAAAGATTTTTTTCTTTTTTCTTCTAAAACATGAATTAACTGCAAATGTCCAGCTGCTCCCCGAATCTCATTCACATCACTCCTATTCTAGCAAAAGACTTCAGGACTTACTCCAAATTCAGCATAAGGATCAGTGCTGCATTGAACAGTCTCTGTTTAACACTCATTTCAGCTCATTATTATCTCAAATAAAGAAAACAATTTTAAATTGAGTTTGAAATGCTATAGTTATAAATAAGCTGGTTTAGAGACTCAAATAAAATCAAGTGTAAAAAAACATTCTTATTATTCCTTCTTCCATGATCTACCTTACTTTTCTTGCTCCCTATTGTCAACTACACATCAGAAATGTAATGTTTTCTATTGGGTTTTTTTTGTGACATTACCTTGTTAAGCACTTACACACTCTACCAAATATTTCCTTTTTCTCATCAAGCCCGAAACCGATGAATAAGCAAAGCAATAACATTTGAATATTTCCCCCAAAGTACCTCCCAAAAAATGTTGTGTGTGGGAATCCAAGTCAGAAAAAGCAGTAAGCAAAAAATGAGTATAAATACCAACGACTGATTCTAAATCACGTATTTTGCAAGTTGATGCAGTGATAGAGCAACATAGTGTCAAAAATTCATGGATTCAGGACAAAACATCTCATTGCAGGTGGAAGAATACAGCTTTATACTTTTTGAAAACCAGATGCCCTAGAACTGACCTTGGGAAAAAAGGTAAAAAAAAATGTAGAAACAAAATAATTACAAAGCAAAATAGGTGTGCCAGCAAAACAACAGCTTCTAAGGGCAACTTTGCATTATTTCCTAAGATACCATGGCAAGGAAGGAAAAACTACTGTATCTACCGAATTTTGCACACAGCAGTGCACGGACAGGAAAAACCAGCAAAAACCAAAATCTGTCAGATATTAACGTTCATCAGCCAATTTGCCACAAAACCCAACCAATTCAATCCAAATACTTAGGAAAAGCTATTCCAACAGGAATTTTATTCAGTGTCATCTCACATCTCACATAATTTGGCAAGTCTTTAAGGAAGGAAAAAACCTCAGAGGATATTGTTAGTGTGCCAACTATGGCTGGATTCCAGAATTTACCTGAAAAGAAGGAAAATGTAGTAAAATAAGTGCTTACTCCCGAAGGGGCCGTGTCCCTGCTGTACATGGGCCAGGTTTTCCATTGGACGTCATGTCGATACTGCTTATGCACGTGCTCACCCACTCCATAGATGTTGCTGCTGGGGAGTTTGATGGAAAGCTGTAAAAACTGCTCGGCATACAGCAGTGGGCCGATGGTGCTATCAAACCTGGCGAAATGATGTAATGTTGCATAAAAATTTTTATGCTGAAGGTTGGATGCATTAGTATTGCTAACCTCCCCCCCCCGCAAAACCCAAGTCATTATTTAAGAAAGCATTCACATCATGTGCCATTACTAATTTTGTCATATGCATCTCACAATTTGGCCAAACCCAGTCATGTTGCATATTGCAGTAAAAATGCTGGTCGTTTTTAATAATAATTTAATAATTGTGAATTTTTTTTCATTAAAAATATAAAATGCGCCTTATTTTTTTCCAAATTAAGTGAAAGCCTAAGGAAAATTTAAGCAATCTTCTAGAGCAGTGTTTGAAACAGGTCCCAACATTATTTTTTTTCCCAAAATTAAATAAAAACCTATGGAAAATTTAAGCAATCTTCTAAAATGCTGTTTCAAACAGATCCCATTGAATTAAATTATTCTCCCTAGCATGTGCCAACTAAATCAGTCCTGAGCACCCACTCCATCTTTCACACATCTGCTAAAGGTAAATCAGTCTTATTAAGAGAGGCTTTTAAGAAAGTAAACAGTGCTAATAACAGGAAAAAAAAGTAAATCCTAACTAATTAAACTTGAAGAGTTTATAGCAAGCCAATTCCTGCTAGCGGTCAGCTATGTAATCACTTTTTAATTGATTTAAGAAATATTTACTCCTGAGGCTTCCGCCTTTCTGTGGGTCTCAGTGCAGGGCTGTTAGCCCAACTTTGCCTTCTTTAAGTTTTGGGGTTTTTTTGGAAAACAAAGGGATTAAAAACCTCCAGTACAGAAGCATTTTGAATATTTTACTTATCATTTTCTCGGACCAGCTTAGCACTGGCTAGTACCAAGAGTCTCCTATCACACGCCTGAAGCACAACCCGATTTCGTGGGCATCATAAATAACATGATAGATGCGGTAACAGTGTTGCTGGGAAGGACTTCTCAAGAGAATTGATAAATTGATGGCACAATTCATCAATTCTCCCCGGGATTAAGGGGAGAAGAAGGCACAGAGCCAAAGCAGCAAAACCTAAACCCAGTGAGACAGATCTCCCAAATTGTATTTATCCTCTTTATCCATCAGAAGAAGATGGCAAAACCCAAACCCAGGGAGACAGATCTCCCCATCTCCCAAATTTTATGTGGAAAGACTCCTTCCATACTGCTTATCCATCAAAAGAGAAGCAGCAGCTCACATGTCCCACAGGGCATCTAATGCAATGCAGACCTTCAGAGAAAACAAATGGCATCATGATTTTATGCATAAAAAACCCAAAAGTTACTCACAAAACTTTTCCGTTGCTTGCTCTGGTCACCTTGATGCCAAAGGGATTTTGCTGGACATCAACTTTATATTTTAAGTTGGAGGCTGCCAGACCGCTGAAAGTTCCCACGTGCTCATGGGGGACTTCAAATCTTTGCGTTTTAGGATCAGTGAGCTACACGTTTAAGGAACAAAAGGAGTTGAAAGAATAAAATAAATGATTTAGAAATGAATGCCTCATTTTAACACTTCTCAGCACAACCATCCAAATCTGACTTGGCAAAATAACACCCCACCTGTTGTCAAAACAGCATCACGATAAGAAGCAGTCAACATCAACAAATGGCAAAATTAAGACTGTGCAAACCTACCCAGTCTCTCTATTTGGGGAGATAAGGGGCTATTCTTCCCATGGAAAATAAGCAGGAGGCAGAATTCTGCACAACCATGCCTGTAGGCATTGCCCAGCCCTTTTTCAGCATCTCATTTTCAGTCTTTCTACATGTCCTACCTTGGCTGGGTGGAACCAAACCCAGTCTGACTCCCAGATTTTTGGAAGGAAAACATGTGGCACCCTCCAGCCCCAAGAAATTAAAAAAAAAAAAAAGAAAAAAGAAAAGACGAATAAACGAAATAAGAAAAAAAAGACAAAAGAAAAAAAAAAGAAAAAACCCAAACCAACCCCACAAAACAAAACAAACAACAACAAAAGAACCAGAAATCCTGTCCAGTCCCCAAAATCCATGGATTTTGGCATATTTACTACATACTGAGTGTTAAATTTTCCATAAAACGCAAAGTTGGAAGCGCTAAAGCTTACTGCCAAAACAATTGTGAGTTAGAAGTAAGTAAATGTATTTGGCCCAAAATAGTTTTCCAACGAAAAGGGGGTTAAAAAATGGAAGTAAGATAAAAATCAGATCTTTTTAAAGGTATCTGTAAATTTTTCATGCACAAATCCTGCTGGGCTAAACTACTGCTCCTCTAGATACAAAAAAAAGCCTCTCCTGGTCAAAATTTTTCCTTGGAAGTACAAAGATGTATTTTGGTGGGAGTCATCGGGTGCGAAAGGGAATTAATCCACCTTTATAACCCCACAGCATCTCCCTCGTGCACCAGTCAGGCCAAAATCTTGCCAATAGCAGGGTGAAAAACTCACCTTGAACCGAAAGCGATTCTGTGTTTGATACTCTGCCGTGAGGAGGACGGTGTTGATATCGTTCCCGAAAAGTGACGGGGAGGAGAGCCGTGTCAATGTAGCTTGAAACCCTTGGGTGGGGAAGTGAAATTAAATCATAGCATGGTTTGGGTTGGAAGGGACCTTAAAGCCCATCCAGTTCCCACTCCCCTGCCATGGGCAGGGACACCTCC